CAAAGTAGTGTGAGGTGGAAGAGACAGGGGAGACCTGAAAGGCTGCAGAGAGACGAGGCGGAGGTAGGCCTTGGAGGGCGAGAATGGGGAAGAATCAGGCGGGTTTCAGGAAAAAGCATGTGCAGGAAGCAGAACAAGAAGTGACGAGTTTCCGGCGGTGTTACTGTGGACGGAATTGGCTGGAGGAGGTTGGGGCCGAATTGTGCGTGGGGCATTGGGACAGGAAGTTGACAGGCTAGTAGGTTAAGCCAGGTAACTAACGAGGGCAGAGCGGCCTCTAGGTGGGACTTGGAGGGCAGGGGTGGGGACGTTTCAGAACTGACCAGAATGAAAATTACAGTATTGTCCACTCCCCGCAGGCTCTAGCTTCCCCGTCTTCATTTCTCATTTCAACTTCCCCCTTTAATGATCTCCAAGGCATGTGGTTGTGACCATTCCTGAATGCAAGCCCGTTTAGAAGGGAACCAGCATTAGTACTTTGGTGCTCAGAGATGTTAGGGTTGAAGAGACAAGTCTTTCTTTGCTCCCTATTCCTCTCCTCACCTGGCATGATGCTGCTGCCCTAGTGGGCATGCAGTACATGTTCACACCCTCCCATGTTTTCCTCTCTCAGCTGTTACTTCACAGCAGGAGACAGCAGCCCCTCAGGCTCTTCCCAGGGGATCTACCCATTGAGTGGGAAGGCTGGGAAGGGGGTCTTTCCGAAATCCACCCTATTGGGTAGATGCCAGTGCTCCCGCCAAGCTCCCACCATCCAGGCCTTCCCTTCAGGGTGAGAGGGAAGCCACATGGTCAGTCGCCCCATCCCCCACCCCCTCCCCAGGCCACCTTACCCTTCCCGTCACTGCTGTCTCTGGTTGGGTGGGTTGGGGAGTGTGAAGAGCCACCAGGCTGGGGGGGATGCTAAGCATGCAGTCTTCCCCGTTTGGAAAGGAGGGCTTAGAACTGTGACGGCATTGGGCCCGCCAGCCTATCCTGGGAGCGGATACATTTAATGCAGAAGATGAAAGGAGACATTTGATCCCTACCCTCCCAGCAGGGTCCTGAAGCCAAGGCCATGTTTTGGAATTCCTTGGGCCCTGGAACCACTGATGGAGAGCCTCGCCCGCTATTTTCTGGGATATAAATGGACTTCTCTGAACAGATGCTCAGAACTCAGGTCAGGATCCTAACACCTGCTTGAGTCAGTCTGGCCAGTGCTCACGATACCGAGCGGGCTCCCAGGCTGCCCCCAGGCTGCCCTGGTGGAGGGAGGCTGCGAGGAGGCTCGGCAGGAAGTTATCAGCCCTTGTACCTCTGGCTGGGAAGCTGAGTCTGTGGAGCAATTTTAGTTGCTACACTTGTCCTGTTTGTAAGAACCTCTGTTTTTGGTTTGGGGTGTTTTGTGGTTTTTTGTTTTGTTTTGTTTTGCTGACACCCTCCCCTTTCCCACCCAAGTGATGTCCGCCTGGTGCCTTGCTGGCCCCCAGCCCCTGGAGACAATGCCTGGCGTGTGGCCAGGAGTGCGGCTGGGGGTAGAGAAGGCGCTGAACACCCAACTCTCAGCTTCCTTCCCCATTGCCCCGCCCTGGCCCTCCACAATGGGGGAGGGAGAAGCGGCAGACTCAGTGTCCCCAGGACGGGTGGGGAGCCCTGGCAGCGCCGAGGAAGAAACACTAGGGTAGCGCAAGTCTAGGCCAGACGTTGCCAAAAAGAACTAGGAGCTGAGCCAGGTCAGGAGGACGGGTATGGGGGGTGGGGAGGGTGCCGAAAGGGAGAGGATTCGGGGGCTGGGACCACGGTGATGCCCTCCAGGATGGGAACTGAGGTCCACTTGGCTGCTGGTCTCACCCGGGGTGGGAGAACTGGGGGGGGGGGGGGGGGCAGACTCAGTCCAGGGCTGAGGAGTGGAGGTCTGGTGACAGCCTAGGGCAGTGATGGCGAACCTTTCGAGATCGACCTGTCAGCATTTTGAAAAACCCTAACTTAACTCTGGTGCCATGTCACATATAGAAATTTTTTGATATTTGCAACCATAGTAAAACAGACTTATATTTTTGATATTTATTTTATATATTTAAATGCCATTTAACAAAGAAAAATCAACCAAAAAAATGAGTACGCGTGTCATAGGTTCGCCATCCCTGGCCTAGGGCTTGGGGCTGCTGATACACCAGTAAGGAGTGAGGACTCACTGCCCTGGAGGCCCTCATTCTAGGAAGATAAACACGCACACCACCACGCAGTGACAGTCTGAGTCCTGTGGTTGGGGACAGGCACACGCAAGGCCTCCCAGAGGGCTTCCCAGGGGAGTGAAAGGTGAAAAGCCAGCCGGTCTGAGGTAGGGAAAAGTCCCAGAGGCACAGAAACCCCAGGCTGGGGGCGCCACCAAGTAGCTCCTCTCCTGGAGGGCAAGTGGGAGTGAGAAGTGCCCAGAAATAAGGCTGAGCTCCCTGGGTCTGAGTGGGCAGGGCCGGGAACTCCAGGCTCCCCGGGAAGCAGGCAGTGAGGACAGTGAGGTCACAGGCTCTCTGTTCCTTCACCTCCTCTGTCCCCGCAGACCCCAGACAGCACTTCCTTGCAGCTGCAGGCTCCAGCCTCCCGGTGGGGAGAGCAGATGAGGAAGGGGCTGAGGGAGGCGCGGGAGGAGGGGGAGTAACATGTGCAGAGCGGGAAACAAGAGAACAAAACCTGATTCTTCCCTGGGATGGGGTCACCTTCCCCCACCATAGCAACGGCCCCAGTGGCAGGCAGCCGCAAGCTGGGGTGGGCATCTGCTGTGCCAGGAGGAAACGGGCTTCTGTGAGTGGGGCGGGCACCCAGAAGGGCCACCCAGACAGTGGACCACCTAGGGCTGGGTCATGGCTGGGAGAGGGCGAAGGCACAGAGCATCAGGCGGTCGTTTTTGGCAGTGAGTCCTGTGTCCCTGGACCAGGGCAGACGTGCTCAGAGGGGCATATGGAGAGGGAATGGCTTCTGTGGTGTGGAATCCAGGGCCAGTGGCATCTGGCCTGAGAGCTAGAGTCAGGGACCCCACTGCCTTCCCCACCCACGGCCCAGGGTTTCGGGACCTTGGCAAGGCTGAGTTCATTGTGGTGCCTGGGCGTGCATGTGTGTGTTTGTGCCAGAATTGGGGTGTGTTTCTGGGCCTGGAGGTGGTGGGTGGAGGGGTGTGTCAGGACTGATTGAGGGCACTGTGACAGGGGCAGGAACAGAGGGAATCTGGATGAGAAGTTTTATCATCCTGGTGCCTTAAGGATTGGCTAGAGGCGGCAAAAGAGAGGCGGGGCATCTAATAATAGTGCCGAGGGGGTGACTGCAATCAGGTCTGGCTCCAGCCCTTTAGGGTTAGGGTCAGGGTTAGCCCAGGATCTTCTAGGCCCTGCTAGTCCATTGCCCTTCCTCTGGCAACACAGCCTGGACCCTGAGCCCTCCAAGAGGGGCAGGCTTCACAGGCGCCTCGCCTCCCTCCACCACTCCTTGCATCCCGCCCATGGGAGTGGATTCGAGGAGGACAGCCACTGTCTCCTTCAGCCGTTAGTCCCCCGTGGCTGGGGTTGGGGAGGGAGAGACTCCAGCCACCAAGGCTTTAGAGCAGGGCCCTGACTCTTCTCCAGACCATCAGGACTTGGCTCATTCAACTCTAGTCCTTGCCAAGAACGTGAGGGCCCCGAGGGCTGACCGTGCAGGAGAGCTGGGGAGCGGGAGGGGTGGGGTGCTCCCCAAAGCACATCCTCAGGCAGTGGGCTCCTCAAGCCCCACTTCTGAGTACAGCCCATGCTGCTGCCCCCCACCCCACCCCACCCCCAACACACAGACCATCCTTCCATGGAAAACAGTAAACTGGCAAACAGCAGCCCTCTGGGTAATGTTTTTGCACTCTACAAAAACATGTCACACCTATTGTCTTCTGATCCTGGCTACATCCGGTGAGGTCACAGGGCCAGTATGCATTTTTAACAAGGCTCCGAGAGAGCTTTTTTTTTTTAAGCATTTTTGTATTGCGTCCGGTGGTTAGTGCCGGAACTGAAGTTCAGGGAGTCCCATATATTCTGCTCAATGTGTAGACGGTGTGCTTGACCCTTAGGTACGTTTTGTCCTTTCAGTCTCACGCAGCCCTGCATGGTCCCTGTTCCTCCAGTGAAAGGAAGAGGCTCCCAGAGGCCCAGCAACATGCTCAGGCTCTGCAATGACGAAGGGGCCTCATGTCCTGTGTGTCCGCCTCCAGGCCCAGCACTCATGCCCTGGCACCAGCAGAACGGCCTTAAGTGCCCCGGTGGGAAGTCACCTGGGGACACAGGCCCCTGCTCCCCAGAGGGACAGGCTGTGCTCTGGCTTTTATGGGGCCCTAGAGGAAATGTCACTTGGGGAGACAGAGCCCCCGGACAGGGCTCTGGGGAGCAGGGGGCTAGGGTGGAGACAGCTGAACCAGGTAGGTCTCTTCCTCAGGGCAAGTTGGGGTTCAGATCTCAACCTGAGGGGTGGGTGCAGGGGAAGTGCTTGAGGGCAGGTGTGAAGGGTTGGAAAGAGAAGGGCAGGAGGGGGCAGGCCCTTTCTCTTCCAGCTCTTGCTTATGGTCAGGGGACAGGATAGGCACAGACTGGCCACAGGGCCACAAAGAAGCAAGTGGGACCCTGAGCAGATGCCTGAGCCAATCGGCCGGGGGCGGGAGGGGGGGGGTGGGGGCGGCGGGCTCAGTACCTGCCAGGGAAGCAGGCCAGGTGTGAGGCAGGGCCCAGGCCAGGGAGAATATGAAATGAGCTTCCAGCCTATTTGCATGTCCTGATTAACCATAAAATGAGCCCCAGGAGCAGAATTAAGCTGTCAGTTTCTCACTGTGTGCTTCCACTACTTCCCCCCCACTACCCACAGCTCCCCAGCCAGCCCGCATGTCCTCATCCCTTAGGCCCCAGGCATGCCCAGTGCCTTCCTCCCTCAGCCTCCTTAACATAGTCTCCATCCTGGTCGCAGTCCCTGCAGGAGCCCACTGGGGAGGGAGAAGGGAAATGGGGGGGTGAACGAATGGGCCATAAGCTTTCATTAGCAAAGCCGAACATAGCAAGGAGGCATCACACCAGCCCTGTCAAGACCTGGGCAGATTTCCCCACCCAAGTCAGCGTTCTGTTCACCTCCAGGCCTGGATCCTGAGAGGACAGGTTTTGGCTTGGCTTTGGGGCAGAGGTGGCAGCTTGTGGGAAGTGTGAGGAGCACAGGGCTGGACCTGTTCCAGTCTCAGCTCTGCCGCTGAGACCCTGGCCAGTTCCCATCTCCGAGCCTCTCCCTGTGAAACGAGTCACAGCAGCCGCTTCCAGGGTGTGGTGTGGAGGAAATAACCTGAAGATGCTGGTGCGACACCTGTGATGTCGCAGCGGAGGCACTCCTGGTTGGTTTGTCCACCCCGCCAAGTTAAAAGGGGTGTTGTTTCCCTTGAATCCTGGCTCACCGGTGGGTTCGTGTTGTCTCTCCCCTCTGATCAGGAACTGGGTCCTTTCCATTGCTCTGTTCTTCGTTTCTGTCGCAGTGCCTGGCAGTGGGAGGCACTCACACGGTTTGATTGGTCTGAATCGCTGTGACTGGTCCACAGAACAGAGGAGTCACCTGTGAATGGCGGAGAGGTGACTCAGTTTCCTGTAGTTGCTCCTGACTCGGATCTGGTGCCTTCTTGAGTCATTTGCTGGATGGCTTCTCCTCTCAGGATTCAGGGAACCAGTAGGTGGAATCTTTGGACTCACACACACCACCAAAGGCAGTCCAGTCTGTGGGCCTTCCCTCAGGGCCGAAACACCCGAGTCCTGGGGGAGACCCGGGAGCAGGGGGCTGGGGTGGGCACAGCTGAACCAGGTAGGTCTCTTCCTCAGGCCGACAGGGCAGCTCCTCCAGGCAGGGCGAGCTGCGTTGGCCAACGCCGGAGAGAGCGGAAGAGTCGGTCTCAGAGCCAGACGACCCTCTGCTTCCAGTCCTGCTGCTTCCATTTGCTCAGAGGATGACAGTGCCTTTTAGAGGCATTCCCAAGTTTGAAAGATGTGCATGCTGCCTGCAAATAGGGGGCTCTCAAAAAACAAAAAAACAACCACCACCAATCTGGGCCTTTCCTCTTGTAGCTTCCACCATCCAGAACTACACACCTACCATCTGATTGTGTGGGAATCTGGGAGTGACCCTAACCAGCCCTATGGAGCTGCTCACTGTAAGCCTCCCCCCATCTCCTCCCTGGGGGCCTGGGATGGGATGTGATGTGCCAAGAGCCTTTCTTGTTTTTCTTCTCCAATTTGCTATTAATGCTCTGAGGGCAGGAAGGCCTCTTGCCTCTAATTGCAGCTGTCACCTCCCATCAGGCAGATGAGGCGGGAGGGGCGAGGGGGAGGGAGAGTGTGCCCTCCCAGGCTGGCTGGGCCCTAACAGGGACCTGCATTGTCCGTTCCCAGCCAGCAGGCTTTCCGGGCCAGAGTAGGCGGGCTGTGGCTTCCAAGGGGTGGCTGGGGTGGCATTGCTCTTGGGCCACGTGCCACCACCACGGCTGCAGAAGCTGAGCTGCTGCCCAGGGCCCTCCCTTCCCCTCAAGGTGGTTCTGGGTCAGGTGGGAAGAGGCCAGAGATGGAGCTAGGGATTTGGAAGTGTTTGTACCATCTGGGCTCACATGGCCTCGCTGGAGAGTGTACACGCCCTGGTGGGGGTGCAGGGCTTGAGACGGTGTTGGGGGGAGCGGTGTGACTCCAGGGCCCAGCTGCTCTCCATCAGCCCTGGTCTGGGCCCCGCCGGTGTGTCCTAGGACAGGTAGCGCCTCCTGTGGGCGGTGGGGGAGATAGCTGCCTACTTGCTCACTAGCACAGGGGATAATGGGTGTGAAAAGGCTTCCCAGTGCCTCTAGGTGCTGCAAGTATTCCCTTTCCTGGGATTTGGAAAGACAAGGGCTTCCCCCAGTGTTCCTTATGCCTGCACTGCCTACCCAGCCATTTCGGATCCGGTGCCAGCTGACATCTCAAGGCAGCAGGTGCAGGAGGGGTGGGGGTTTGTCTCTGCTGCCCCCACTCCCAGGAGGCTCAGGGTTAATACCTGTGCCAGGAGCAGTGGTTTGCCAGGGAAGCAAACAGTTATGGGGACATGAGAGATGAAGTCTTTATTGGGGGCTTCTCTGAGGAACCTGAGGCCCTGGTGCCCTAGTCCCTGTAGAATGTTCAACTGGGGTCTTTGGGGGCAGTGAGGAAGGTCAGAAGGATTTTCTGTTTTCCCCCTTCACCCCGCTCCAGCCCAGAATGAGCAACACACACACACCCCCGCCTCCCCTACCAGCCAGCCGTCACTGCCTCTCCCACCACAGGCCGCCTGGCCTCCTCTCCTTTCTGGGGAAAAGGAACCTGGAGTTGGGCTTTTGAAAGCCAGGCCAGCCGCTGCCTCCTCCCCGGGGCCCCGCAGGGTTCAGGGTTCAGTCCGCTTTCTGCATCGGGATTCAGACCCAAACAGCGGTGTTGATATCAAAGCCGGAGGGCGCGGCTTCCAGGGCCTTGGGGCAGCCCGTGGAGGTGCCCTCCCCTCGCCTGGGCTCCCCCGCGCCCGGGAAGGGCAGGCGCCCCGGACCCTTGGGATGGCCCCGCTTCTTGACTCTCTGCGAGCGTCCGGCTCGGGGCTCTGAGGCCGAGGGGGTCACCCAGCCTGGCTTCTCCTTCAGCAGCCGGTCGCGGTCAGGCCGTACGCTCCGCAGGAATTTCCGGAAGATGTTGGCGGTCAGGGCGAACCTGCGGCCCAGCTCCCGGGGCTGGCCCCTCTCTCCCTGGGGCTCCCCCGCCTCCCTAGGCTCCCCCTTCTCCCCGCCCTTCTCCAGTTCCGGCAAGTCCAGCCAGTTGCCCACCAGGTCCGCAAACACGTTGTCCCCCATCACCAGAGGCTGACGATTCCGGCCCCGGGACATCAAGGTGGAGGTCCAGTCATCCGGCTCCACCAGCTCCGGCCTCTGCTCGGCACAGCCTTGGAGCTCTGGCGGCTGGGTCCTGGGTCCGAGTGCTGGCTCCCCACCCCACACACTCCTGTGGGACGGGCACCTGGCGCTGCTCCCATGAGAAGCTTGGCTGGAGGGGGAGGGGCCAGCAGGCCTGGCGGGACCTCTGCCACCCTCCCACTGAGGGGGCTCCAGCTGTGTCCGGGGGCTTGCAGGGCGGCCTGGGGCAGGAGCCCCCCCAGAGATGTCCAGCTGTTCCAGGGCTGTCTGCACCTGGAGGAGCTTCAGTTCCTGCAGCGCCCCCATCATGCAGTTCATCTGATCCTGCAGGCCGTCGCCCACCTCCTTCATGGACATCTGCGGAGACAGAGAGCCAACCAGTGAGCTGTGGGGGGCTTGGGGGGAGAGCTGCCCCTCATTGGCCCTGAACCTGGACCCCCTCCCCCAACACACACCTCCAGTGTCATTCCAGCCGCCAGTGACCCCGACTGTACAACGCAGGCCAGAGCTGGGGAGGAGGACCTTTAACACCGGGGTGGCTGCATAAAGGATAACATCCCGGCAACTCTGTGTGGCGGGCGCTGCTCTCCACCCCGTGGGTGTATGCACAGATGCCTGCGTACAAATGAACCTATATTTAAGCTCCCCGACTACTCTGTGAGGGAGTGACTAGTGTTGTTCCCATCCTACAGATGAGGAAACTGAGGCACGTAAGTAACTTGCTCAAGATTACATAGTAAGAGGTGAGCTGAGATCAGGGTGGGGGGCGCACAGCTGTGGTCCTTCCTGTGTCTGTGCCCCTGCCTCTGAGCCCCAGATGACGACGACAAGGACAATGACGCTTTGTAAGTATGAACTATGCCACGGGAATGGTGCTGAGGACGCTCCAAGCATCATCGCCCTTCATCTCTACATATCATTGTTCTCAGCTGAACAAATGAGTTATCCACGGTGGGTGAAGTAACCGCCTGAGGTCACAGCGCACAGGGCTGGACTCAGACACAGCACAGCTCTGTCCACACGCCCTAGTCCTCACCACCCAGCACTCTTAAGACGGCAGCGGTGGCGCTGGGCTCAAAGGCTGCCCGTGCCCTGTGCCCCGTGCCCCATGGGGGAAGGGGAGCTCACTCCCTGTGAGAAGCAGTCGGCTGGGGTTTCCATTCACTGCTGTGCACGGAACATCTGGCTGCCAGGGCGGAGGTCAGGAGGCCAGGAAGCTCCTGTTTGCGGAAGCCCTCGCCCGGCTCTTCCCGGTCCTTCTCCTGAACACCTGTCCTCTCCCAGCTGTTCTGGCGCTCGGCTCTGGTGCCCTTCCTGCCTTCTTGGCCCACTGGGCCAAGAGTGGGGACACGGGGGGCCAGTTCCCCAGCCCCTTTGTGGGTGTCTAAGGCCCGAGTCCCAGGTGCCAGCTGGAAGGGGCTGAGGGACTGACTTGGGCGAGGGCCGAGTTTGGAGGCTGGGCGAGGGATGCTTGGTCTGATAACATTCATGAGGTTCTGTCCCCGGGCCCAAGCTGCCAAGGGTCCCGCCAGCTCTGCTCAGGTTACCAGCAGCAGCC